TATCGACACTGAAACAGCATTTCAATCTCCTCTTTCCACTCAGGTACCCAGAGAAGATTAAAACTGGCCTCCATCATGCCCACTGCTTCATACCCGTAGGTATTGCCATGGTGTTAGCACAACGACCAGACCTGGTCGCTCCTGCAGTGTCAGCGTTTTACCTCCGGGACCCAATAGATCTGCAGGCGTGTCGAAGCTTCAAGACCTTCCCTCCTGACACAAGAGTCCTCACCTCGGTAAACACATATAAAGATTCATGATTGTAGCCACCTGGACAAAGAAAAGCAATTATTATAATGTCTTTTTATGCAAAATACTGTAATCACTGTTTTTGTTTTCCATTAGTGTGTTTCAGCTTTTGTTAAATGTCTTCAAAACCTTTTATGCAAAACACTATAACTTTGTACTTCTGTACTGTTTATATTTGCAGGTGACATTCACCCGTTGCCTGTACGCCCAGCTGCAGCAGCAACAGTTCACCCCTGACCGGAGGAGCGGCTTCACCCTGCCTCCTAGCTCTCATCCTCAGTACAAAGCCCATGAGCTTGGCATGAAACTGGTGAGCCATCACCATGTTCCCTCTTTATTCTAATCTGTCTTTTCAATAAATACATTCATGCATTTGGTAGGATGCACGGTGGCCTTTTATTGTTTTATTTCGTTACATGTCTGCCTCTGTTTCTCCTAGGCCCATGGCTTTGAGATCCTGTGCTCTAAGTGCAGGCTGCCATCATCAGAGCCTGATGCCCCCATCAGTTGTAACCCTCAGTGGAAGGGCTTCATGGACAGTCTGAAAAAGAACGACTACTTCAGGGTTAGTCACTCTTTTTGAAAGTTTAGGTCAAGAGTAGAAGTAGCACCTGGGATATTAGGTTAGACTTAAAATCACACATTATTAAATGTGCACTATACACAGCATTTCCCTACTGTGGAAGGTTCATTATATTGTTGTCAAATGTAGGGAGAACTGGAAGGTTCGGCTCATTACAGAGAACTGACAAGATCTGCGGAAAACTTCTTCAAGCAGTCTGTCGCTTCAAAATCGAGGTCAGTGCTGTGGCCGTGTGTACGTGACTGACACTGTGTGAATATGCCTGTGACATCAGAGTGCATCTGTCTGAATGTATCTACTGTGTACATTGTCCCAGTGCTTTGTCCCCGGGTGAGGAGGTTCTCCAGCTGCTGCACAGCTGCAGTCCTTTCAGTTTGGAGGATCTGAAGAAACAAGAGTCACAGCTCCCCCAAGAGGACAGTGAGTGTTGATCTAGCTTTTGAATATGAAATACTTATGAAAGGCATTTTTAAAAGTTTGTAGATCATCCGTTAGGAGCATATTAAATTGAATTTGTCTCAGTTGTATTTGGGTAGCGGCATAATTTATGATTATATTAGCATTATTATATTAGCATTTTCTATTCAAAAGCTATGTTTAATATTTCAAAATGGCAGCCTGTATACTGTCTGGACTTTACTTATTTACTGTTTTACTTACTTCCTATAATGTAAGCCTTATATGACATTGTTAGAAAGTAGATAATGTCTGTGTCTCTGCCACCTGGGATTTTCTGCTTCCTGCCAGATCCTTTCAGTTTCTGTCCGTTTGGTGTGCATCCTCCATTCTCTACCCATTCTCCCTTTCAACCATTTCCCATAATCAGTTTTTCTTTGTGTCTATCTCCAGGTGACAGCTGGCTGGATATCACCACTCAGGATTTGGAGCGTATGTTGCAGGAGAGGAGCGGGGGGAGAGCTGATGTTGGCAGCCAAAACTCCAGTTCCACCAAACAGACACAACATGGTGGAGGTGCAGGGGAGAGGAAAAAGGAGATGCAGGACAATAAGGAGGAAGAGGAGGCCGGTTACAGCCTGGTGGCAGTTAGTCAGGGGATGAAGAGCTTCCTCAACGCCATGTCGTCGCATGAGGGTGCTGAACTGCCCTGGTGAGACAGGGTCAAGATATAACTTGTGATTTTTAATGTGCAGGTGGATGTGACACATGCATTATTTTCTCTTCATGGTCTGTCTGTGCTGCAGATGCTAGTGCATTCACATTCTAGCCTGTCTAGCTAATGTATTACGATGTGCATTATTCCGCTAATAGTCTTTTAGTTCAGGTTTTACATTGTTTTTCTTTGTATTCCAGGAGCAGTTCAACTCAGCCTTTCAGTTTTGAGCCTGATGCCATGGCCAGCGCACTGGACAGACTACTAGGTACTGTATGTAGAAGACAGGAAAGATGTGGAAGTAAAAATATCAAACAGAAACTTGTCACATCTTCCTCTGAAATTGTCTGTGTTTTAATGTTATAGGAGGGAAAGAAGAAGAGCTAGATTCAGATGATCTAGACGATGATGATGATGATGATGAAGGTGATGATGAAAAAGAAGAGGAGGAGGAAGAGAAAGAAGAGGGGTCCTCTGGTCACTCAGAAATGAACGGGACGGAAGCTTTGGAGGGTCTCAGGAGATACATGGATGAAATGGATGAGGAGCTGATGAGCACTAATATAGGACAAAGCTTCAATGTGATGGTAAATTACATGACTCCATATCCCCGTATATTCAGCCTCAACTTTAAGATGTCATTAGTTTTAAAAACATAGCTGAAATAATGGATTACCCTAAGTCTAAATATGGAACCATTTGGTCTTTCTGCAGAACAAGGCAGGCTTGGACAATGGCTCCCCTCGTCCCTCTGCCACAGACGGTGTCCCGCGACATGGAGAGGTGGAAGAGACAGAAGAGAAGATCCAGCCTCTGGACGTCGACCTCAATCTGGTCGCAAACCTGCTGGAGTCCCTCAGCTGCCAGGCCGGGCTGGCCGGACCGGCTTCGAACCTTCTGCAGAGTCTGGGTATTCACCTGCCGCCCAACTCTGACCCCTCATAAAGGACAGAGAGTACTCGGATACTGAACGAGGCACCTCATAGCAACCAAATTTTCTAGGAGTTAAAAACACGTCCGGCACTTTTCTGAAAATCTTTTGGAATGAGTTTAAACCTACATTGTTTATACAGGAGTACTAAAAAAGGAAACAAAGCTCATACTGTAAACAAGATGCACTTCAGATAACATTAATTAAAAATACACACAACACACTGAATTCGCATAGTTTTGTACAGCAGTTAACGATATGTTTTTCCAGTGGATAGTTTTCTGTTTGGTCCATACCAGTGAAAACATAGTCCTATAAATATAAAAACTTTCATTTTCTGATGTCCCCATTAATTATTTAGGATCAGGGCATGTTCACTGCAGTGAAGAAATGCATTTATCTTCAGTTTTGGTTGCAGTGTAAATACAGATATATTTAAGTCTGTGTTGCCATAAATCTTTATGTCAAGTTTTTATTCATGTTGCTTCATCGACAAGTTTAGTCTCTGACAGTTTTGATCTAGTATGTAATTAAAAATAATTTGTAGAAAGCACATTTGAGATTTATACCCAAGGGCAGGATGAAGCAGGACTCTGCTGCAGGATGCATGACAGGAAAAAGTGGTGTAAGGAAGTCATGACGTGCCATTTTGATGAGGATTTTTAACACATGATGCTTTGTGTAATATGTACTGTTTGTGTTGTGAAACAGAATAAATATTTTTGGAAATAAAGTCTTATTTCAGTGTAATTTCAGTTTATTAACAGTGAGTAGATTATCTTTGATGCACCATCACCAGGTAGTTCAACTTTATTATCACATTATTTGTTTAAGCATGTAAAATATGTTTTAAATATGATACACATACAATGACAAAGCATTTTCTTAAATTAAGACATAATTCTAGCTTCCCATGACTCACAGAAATTGATGTCAGCACCACTTAACTCTCTTTCATCGCAATCCCTTCTCATCTGATTTACCTCAGCAGTCAGATTCATTCAAGGGCAACTGCTACAAAACTCTGGTTAAAAATTCATTTGGGAATCTGAGTTTAAATATTTCTAACACTGGTAAGTAAACGTAAAAAAGCGTGTTCAACAGTCTGTGTCCAGAGTACAAATAACCCACTCCTTGATTGGTCCCTTTTCATCTGAGAAAGCTCTCAGAATCATTCAAGGACAAACATGGGAGTTTAAATCTGTTCATCTTAAATACAGTTTAATAAATGATGACATATTTACAGGAGGGTCCAAAAGTCTGCTTACACTATTAATAACTCTTTAATTGTTTATCAGGTTTATCCTCAAATGTCCTCAGTTTTTAATGAATGATTTGCTATTTGCTTCAACACTAAAATAATAATGTTGTTGTTTGACTCATGCTGCTGTTCTGTCATTGTCACTGGTTTTAAATCTGCTGCTCTCACACTCCGGCCCTGGTTTGTCACTGTTTTTAATAAAGAGTACCCAACGTTCTTCACCTAACTGGAACAGGCAGTGTTTGTTTAGGTGGTTTGGTGATCTGTTTATTCTGCATCCTGTCCTGTACAGGTGCCCAACCGCTTAAGCTCTCTGACATTATCTCATCCCCTGCAAACATTTTGCAACATTAGTCCTCAAAGTTCTCACACAGTGTAAGCAACGGCATAAGCAGAAGTGACAATGTTAGAGAAAGAGATGCATTAAGGTGTGGAGGATTTAGGGGAATGTACTGGCAGAAAAAAATAAATATAATAAATATGTTTACATTGGTTTATAATCACCCAAAAATAAGAACTGTTGTGTTCTCATTACTGTAGAATGAGCTGTTTGTATCTACATAGGGAGCAGGTCCTCATCTACGGAGATCGACATGTTGCACTGCCATGTTTCTACAGTAGCCCAGAATGGACAAACCAAACACTGGCTCTAGACTAGGCCATTCGTGTTTTTACATTTTTTCATTAGCAGCCCCTCTATGATGAGAACATTGGAAAAAACACTGATTTTTTTTTAACATGAAACTGCTTTGATCAGTGTTCTCTGGGGCTTTTCTAGGCTTTTTCTCCTGGTAAAAACCTCCAGAACAATGGACACTGAAGGAAATCTAACCAGGAGAAGTTTCAGCTGGTTGTAATCTGCAATCCTCACCACTAGAGGCCACTTAATCCCTCCTAAATCTGACACACTGTTCCTTTAAGGGCATTTACAGTTAGTATTTGAAATAAATATATAATGCAGCTAAAATAAGAACAATCTAAAAGTCTTCATTTATGTATTTGCTAAATGATGTGTCAACTGAGTCATGGTTAATTACAGAAGAGATAAACACTGGTCTTCGTTTATTCTTTTGGACCCACTGTAAATCAAAAGCTTGTCAACTGGTTTCATGATGCTGTCATGGTAACGGTGTAATGCCTGTAGCTTCTGTGCTGATGTTCTGTATTTTATCTCATGTTTAACGGAAGAAAGAAGGCGATGTAACTTGTGTTTCTTCACATAAAATGACACTGATGTGGATTAAATTGCAATCTGTGTGTGTTGCATTGATACAGTACAAAACAGTCAATCATTTGTCTCAGTCCTGTCAAGTGAAACTACAAAAGCTGGAGGAACGGCTGCATCATCTGCCTTGCCGAGTGCATCAGAGCAGCAGCAAGCGGCGAGACACACAGAGCCGACATACCGACCAGGAAGTTGAGCACCATCCCCAGCAGGAGAATAGCCAGCAGGTACCCATGGAAGAGCAGGGTTTGCCAGCTGCCGTGACTCAACACCTGCCAGGGACTGTCCGGGTGCAGCAGCCACAGGAGGCCCAGCACCCAGCTCTGGTTGACCAGCTGGGTGTAGTAGATGTCAAAAACAGAGGCCTGGGCATCAGGGGAGTGGCGACGCTCGGCCTCGGACACTTTAGCCAGCCAAGTCAGAGAGAGACTGTGAAGGATTAAAGCCAGAGGTGCGTACATGTACTCCAGAGGCTCAACACCTGACAGACCCTGGGAGGCTGCAGAGAGAGAAAGAGGGGGTCAGTTAGAGGTCAGTTCCTTCAGAGGCGAAGACAATAACATCTCACTTTTTTTTTTCTTTTTTTTTTACCTGTGATGACAAAAGATGTCCCACCCAGGATGGAAATCAGGATACAGATGTGGATAGATGGAAGAGACACCAGCTTCTGAGAGAAACTGAAGCCCACAGTTACGATGGGCAGCAGAGGCAGCATGAGGGGAAAGAGCCCGGCGTACGAGCTGCTAGCCTTGGCCCACATGGCCAGCACAGCATGGACGCTGTTACAGATAGAAGGCACCAGCACTCTTTCACCCAGGGACCTGGAGTAGTGCTTCAGAGGCACCAGATCCAGGACATGGAGGAGGTTTAGGACTAAGAGAGAGACCAGAACCTGGAAAAGATAACATCAATATAAAAAGTCTTAAAAGTGTACCACAAAGCACTTAAGATAAAAGCTGAAAGCAGAATTATTTTAAAGATGCTGATATGAGGCCTCTGAGTAGATACTTAATGAGAGTTTGACAAACACACGACACCAGATTCATGTGGGTAATTGACATTCGGGGCAGATTGCAGAGAGTGTTAAGCACAGTGGTGTAGTGGAGGGTATATGCAGGTATATGGGGTCTACCCACGTCCTTTTCTGGCCCTTTATACCCACCTATCAGCCAATAAGACATTGGAACATGTAGGAGAGTACACCCACTTCCTCTTTGGTAACCCACCCATCTACCTAGTCTCACAAAGGTCTAACCTCTCTCACGACGGTCTAACACCAGCCCACTTTCTGTTCCTAAAAAACCTGTGGCTGATGCTGACATTGTGTGTAAACTGGAACCCCAGTTCTCTCTCTTTTTTTTAAAGATTATTATTTTGGGTTTTTTGCCTTTAATGGATGAGCATGAAGGGGGGAGAGAGACAGAGAGGGAAGAACATGCAGCGAAGGGCCACAAGCTTGAGTTGAATTTGGGCTGCTGTGACAAGGACAAAGCCTCTGTACATAGGACGCCTCCTCTAACCACTAAGCCACCAACGCCCCAGTTCCAGTTCTCTCTTTGAAAGAAGTACTGGAATCCCAGAGTAGGAATTATGTCTGTGGACGTGACAGAAATGTCCTCAAAACATTAAGTGATAGCCCACAAGAGTCCACGCCCACTCTCTTACTTTCTGAGTCAGCAAAAAGGTTGTTGTGAGTGACGTTGTAGTTTCAAAGGCAGATGATGCAATGGAAAAAGTCTAAAAGGACTCTTTTTCCTCTGTTACAGTGACCAAGCGTAAACCACCAGTGGAGGCAAATCTTTCCAGTGGCAGGAAATTAAAGAGTCAAAACGAAGGCTCTTAGAGAAAAGACTTTTTGTACACCCACCTCATCAACTACTGCGACACCACTGGTTAAGCATACACTAACATCTGAATCTTTTTAATGAAACTGAGATTTCTCCAAAGTCCCCAAAACTGTGAAAACTACACTGCAAATGCTGCAAACCTATAACGTTCCATGACATCTAATTTGCTGAGATGATTAGGGAGTTTAATTGATCGATCAAATGATAGAAAATTAATAAGTGACCATTTTTAAAATAATAATTCGATCATTTATATAATTTTTGTATGCAGGCAATTTGACATCTGCACTATTACCTTATATTTTATAGACAAAAATAATATGTATTATTAATTATAGTAATTAATTGATAATGCATATAATTGTTGGTTGTAGCCCTAATTTATGCCATTGTACTCAATTTTTGCAAGTTTATTGTGTATGAGTATATTCTTTTCTGAGAAAACTGCTTGCAAAAGCTGTTTTTTCAAATTTAAAATCCCCTGCCACATACCTACTTATATATGTCCTATAGTTTTGAAGCATCATGTAAACTTCAGAAATATTTTTAAGATTATTTAAGTAACTTTTGAAGCTCAGCAGGGTTTGGCCCCAGTTATATAGCTGAGCTACCAATGCTCCAAGTCGAGACCTTAGATCCTAAAGCCTACCCTTACAAGTCGTCCTTAGAGCTAGGCCGGTAACTCAAGGTGACTGCACTTTGGCCATCAATGCTGCAAGGCTCTGGAATTCTGTGCTTGTTGGGATTAGGTTGGCCAGCATATTACCCGTTTTTAAATCATTGCTTAAAGCATAGTTTTATAGGAAAGCTTTCCCTTTAAATGCCTGATTTGTACTTTTGTGATGTGTAACTTCTGTGTTTTATTTCCTTTTGCTCTGTTTTTGCCTCTGTACAAACTGTTTTTCTTAGCTCTTAACATTTTTTTCATGCACTTTGTGAGAAATATTAGTATTATTATGTTTTATGACCCAAAATAAACACATAAATGGAGGACAAAGATCCGAGATGGGTGGATATGCCCATCCAGCTCCTCCATTACACATATGTTATGCCACGTGGCTAAATATAACTTCAACCTATGGACTTAAAGCAGTTTTAACCTATGGACTGATGTCCTTCAGTCTTCACAGCCCCTCCCAGTGTCTTCAATTCAGAAATAGTAAATCGCAGGTGTGCGAGGCTTTTTTTGTGGTGAAACCACTTGATGTTTTGTTTAAAACTACGTCAGAAATCCGACACTTTCAAAGCATTTACATTATACCCACAGTCAACGTGTGTCAAACACAGGTCAGTCTGTACACTCACATGACTCATTCACTAAGTCATTAGCCAGTTTCCAGTCCTTTCAGTCCTCTGCTCACCCATTTGGTTAAACATCTATCATGCATGAGTGTTAATCAACACTGAACCCCTTCTGTCACTCCCCACCACTAACATGCCGTGTCCTTCAAACTAGCACACACAGACAGCAAATACTGACGGAGTTACAATAGCCAGCAGCCAACACTTCATGGGACAGGTATGAGGTCAACTGCCATGATTAGCAACTCAATAAAAGAACTTTTTTTCTGAAGAATTATCAATGAATGACACATTTTTATTTTTAGTAGAAGTAGTAGTAGTGCTTTTTTAAATGACATTTTGTACTTAAATATACAAACAGCATGTGTGAGTCTTGGTGTTTCAGTATTAACATACTAGTATGACTGTTAGCAGAGATAATGTGAAGGCCCCTGCTATTCTCCAGTGTCAGATAGCTTATCAGGGTGTCCCCTTTCACATGTCTATATTATGTCTTAATTGCACTTGTGATTTAGCTGCTCTCTGAAGTAACTAAAACCCATGTAATTACAGTTTAAGCAAATACGGTGCTGTCAGGACACACAGGACTTTGTGTAAACTAAACAGCAGGTGAGCCACAGAGGGCAGTGTCTTTTTATATTAATAATTATTGTGCATGTGCTGGTGGCAAACAAAGGATGCTTTCATATTTGATTGATTATTTCAGATGACCGTGTGAATCATCCTTAGAAAGGAGCCAGACAGATGGCAGGATGCAGGCACCAACCTGGGCGAAGCAGGGAGCTATCGCATAGGGGTAGTGGTACTGAGGGATGAAGATGCCGGCCACAAAGTTGCGGAGTTTGTCCGCCAGGCCGTATATCACCACCACCATGAGGCAGAGGGTGGGAACCAGGGGCTTCAGTGCGTGATTAGACGACAGGGTCTTCATCGCTGTGGCACACCATCCCCTCCTCCACCTTCCTAAACTGCACACAGAGAACTTAATGCATGAATCATACATTTTACATTAATCTCAAATAACTAAGCTGTGAATGTAGTTTGATGTGAGATTATAGAAAACAAGCTTGTCCTTTAACTCGTGTTTGACCCATTTTTGTTGAGCTTAATGTGTCCAACTGGAGAAGGCTGCTTTGTTTGACAGATAACCACTTTAAAAAAAATCACCCAGAAGTGACAGGTTTACATAGCCTATCCCCTGCAATAAAACACCAACATACTGTCTCCTATATGTAGGCAAATAAAGTTTGGCTATATAAACACAGTTGGCTTTTCATTTGCCTGGTTCCCAGGATGACAAAAAATAACATATTCATATATAAAAGCAAAATGGATTACCTTTTACCTAAGAGACATGCTGTCATTCTGCGCAGAGGTTGCTGTTGGGATCTGTTGTTTGGAGTCAGTGTGGAGAAAAGAGAAATTCACATGACTGCAACATCACAGAGCAGTGAGGCGATCAATATACTCTCCACAGAACAACAGAGAGGAATATCTGGTTTAACCATTAGCTCTCATATCATAACATCCTCACATGGTCGTAGAGACTGGCAGACACAGGCAGACCTGCTGCCAGGAGGAGACAGGCTGTGTCAGCTCTGTCCTCAGAGACAAGTGGAGACAGAGCAACATTTCCAAGAACTTCAAGATTTTGATTCGCACTCTGACCAGACTAAAATGCAATAGCTGCTTGGAGAAAACTGTCTCAGCGCCATAGATGCAGCAAGATATGTCAGTGCATGTCACAGCCTGACAGACAACCAACACAACAACATATAGTTCATCTAATCAGATCACACTCCTCACTTAATGTTTTTTTTCTCTTTTAAAATGTATGTCTATGCATTTGTAATAATACATCGTTGATTGTTTTTGAATTTCCACTGTCTTAAATTGTAATTGTGCTTTGGCAACACATAAAAATGCCATGCCAATAAAGCTTATTGAATTGAACGGAATTGAATTATTATGGCTCTGCTACATGCTGTTTACAGGTGATCTACTAACTAACTAACTAATTATTTTATTATAATATCCCGGACATACTTTGCATCATTCCTTCCAGCAAAACAGCTCCTGTATTTATCGTTTCTTGTTCCTATTTGGTTGTACATGTTTTAACTGTTTTTACTAAATGCCACTCTCATCATTTTTACTGCTAGTGTGTTTTTCTATTTAACAATTCTATTTAAAAATTCTGTTATATAAATGTCTGATTTTGCCTAGCTGAACTAAACCTAGTTACCTGGTTATCAGACAGGAAATTCAATTTATGAAAACAAAACAAAAAAATCACTATTTATACAAAAACATACAATACAAATAAATGTATGTAAATAAAAAATATTGGAGATATTTGTCCAAATTTACACAATTAAAATGGTGTTGGCGTGTTATACATAAAACATCAACTTATTTTTATTAAAATTAAGGTGGAGACACTTTTAAAAAACACACAAAAATCACAAGCAAAGGGACAAAAAGTTATGTTAAATGGGCTATAGACCCAATTATTATTAAATTATACATTCTCGTAATAATAATATCGTAAAAGTCACATTAGATATATATCAGCTCAATTACTGCTTTATAAAAGGAACAGCTATTTGCGGAAAATCCCACACTTTTAAACACTGCGTAAATTACGCACCTTTTTCGGACATAAGCACGGAAACGTGACAAAAAAACGCGAGAGAAACATGAACTTTACTCACCATGTGAAACTCCTCACAAAGCCGTATTTCATCTTCAAACTCCAGACATCCCCTCTGAGTGTCAAACACTGCTACCTATAATAAACCGGTCACAGTAACGCAAGTAATTCACCTTTGTCTCAACAGTCGTGTGTGTCTCACCATTGTGCTGAGTGCGCCTGTCTGCTCCCCTCCTGCTCTCTGCTGCTGCTGCTGCGGGCATTCACCTCATTTGTTTTCCCACTGTGTCCAGATGGACTTTGTTCCTGCTCTGTTTATCTTCCCATAATTGAAGAAGCAATCTTGGGTGGACAATTATTAAAAGTCTGTTTCTCCCGAGAAACACAGCAAGAGCAGCACCTGTGGAGTCCATCGGGATGTGTGTTTGCTGACACATTTCATTACACATAATGTGTGATAGTGATTGATATCAGCCACATGGGAGGAATTTGACTGATGCTTTTAACATTATACTTTTAACACTATACTTTCTGATGATGAGAGAGTAAACCCCAGGCTGTTTCTTTCCCAGCTTTGACACCTGTTTGTGACATTCCTGACATGTTTGCCCCCCTGCTCTATGTCCCCCACCCGCCTCTGTCTGGGCCAATGTAGCTGCACAGAACATCATGGCATCATTGAGAGCAAGAGCCACATGGCTGCATGAATGAGGGGCTGCTTAAGCAAACATGAGGCTGAGAGGGTGTGCACTCTGGAGCAGCATGGGCCCCTGATTGATCCAGAATACTATAGCAACAAGCCTGTGAGATGCAGAGCACTTTCTGTTAGCTCTGGGAGTCATTAAAGGCTGGAAAAGCATGAAAAAGACACTAACAATTAAGTGGAAGATGTTAACTAATCATGGTTACATATGCCATGTAAGCACGCTGACATATGTATGATGTATGGAAACGTATGTATGCATACTGTGCATACAATAGACTGGATGGTGTGTACACTGATATATGTGCACAGGTGTAGATTTTGGAGGAGTGTAGCGGTGGGGAGTGCAGAGGAGAAGTCCCTCTCAATATTTAGAACATGTGCATTTGTAATACATGTGCAGAAAAGGCACAAATTAGTGTATGAAACTTCACTGGAATGCAGGTTTGATGCTCAAAATATTCTGTCAGAGCACGCCCAAACCCCCAGTGTTGAAACAAAACTCACGCCCTTGCATATGTGTTCATTTATACTTCACAGACCTCTTACAAAATGTAGACCATGTTTAAGCTCACTCAGGAGCACAGCAGGGGGCAGTGATACTCTCCTCTGATGTTGGCAGACATATACAGTACAAAGCTTTGGTCACACAGTATCTTTTATTTTCCAAAATAAGCCAGTTTAATATATGTATCATATAAGGGCTACAGTATGACACATCTTACACTTCCTAATAGAAATGAGAAAGAATATAGAGTGGAAAATATAAATAACTTTAACAGAACACAGCACCACACAATGGACACATTTAAAATGACAACATGAGGTGTATGTACTGTGTAGTCTTTGTCATATAAAAAGGCATCGGCAGGAGCAGTATATTGCATCAGATAAGCTGCACTGAGTTTAATTAAGTTTGTTTGGCTAACATATGACCAAACAGAAAAAATTCAACAATGGATGAGCATCAAAGGCTGTGATTGAGGAAGGTGATGAGTGTGACTGAAGGGCACTGCACAACATACAATAAGGTTTCAAACTTCAATATTTCAATGAGACAACCAGGATGATGTTAAAATCTTTTGCATTAATGGGAAGGTTAAATGTTAAGTGGACACTGGAAGTTGTACAGTGTTTATTATGTTTCTGAGACAGTAATAGGTTGTTATAATGGATGGATGTGTTCTTTGAAAGTTTGTGGAGCCAGCTTTAATTTGAAGGATGCCTTCACTTGGTGTATATTCTCTGCTAACATCAACTGGTTTTGTCTTTGCTTTAACTGATTTACACCTCCTGCCCTGAACCCTGAACAGTTGGCTAAAAAGAAAAGTAAGAAACTATGATGGCAAACAAAGAATATGAGTTGTCAATTCAGTGTATTAATGTGGTAACCCCAGAATTATATTTGCTCTTGCGGAGGTTTATTAACCATTTATACAGTGCTGGGAAGGTTACTTATGAAGTGTAATTGGTTACAGACCACAAGTTACCCTGTTAAAAATTATAATAAGTAATGTTACTATTTTAGTTACTTTCATCAAATTAATGTAACTTCTTACATTTGATTGTTTTTGATTACTTTCTTAACACATTTTTTAAACTGGGCAATTAAGCTGAAAAATTTAGGAAAAGAAGACATTCCTGCACGGCAAAAAGATGCAAAGCAACAGAAATAATGTCATAATCTACATATCCACCCAAAGGTCTGCAGCCAGTATCTTTACTCGGTCTAGAAAACATGACCACATCACACCAATCCTGGCCTCCCTACTGGTTATCTGTTGTTTTTAGAATTGATTTTAAGATTTTATTGATTACTTAAAGCCCTGAGAGGCCTTGTCCCAAGTTCTATAACAGATCTTTTATTGCCCTATGTTCCTTCTCGCACGCTGAGATCCTCAGATGCATTGTTTCTTGTTGTTCTGAGGTCTAGATGAATTTACAAAGATGGCAGAGCCTTTGCAGTCAGAGCTCCTCGACTTTGGAGCGACCTGCCTGAGGAGATCTGGGCTTTTTTGTGTAGTCAGTTTATATTGCTTTATCTTGTTTATTTGCTATGGTTTGTTTAGGTGCTGTATAAATAAAGATTATTACTGTTTTATTAACTTTTTACAGAATATATATATATTCAGATATAACCCCTTTGTAATCACCAACATTTTTGTCAGGAACAGATTACATTTCTTATAGTTATGTAGCCCCATTACATGTTACTCCCCCAAATTGTTGTCCATAAAGGCATTGAATTGATGTCTTATGGCGTCCTGGTACATGTACTGCTTCATGCATCCTGCCTTATTCGTTCTTTCTTCTTTTTACTAAATACTACAGGACTCTGTGTATGGTTTTGAGAGAAACTCAGAGCCTTTTGCTCACCAAATTACCATAAACACTGAATCTATTGGTTGTAATTTGGATGAAGTAGGACTTCTATCCAGGTCTCCCCTCCTTCACCTGTCACAGCCAGCTACTGTACCATGTGGCCCTCTAGAGCACTCGACCGTCTCCTTGACTACCAGCTTAATTCAAGGCAAGGCTGAAGTTTGTCACATTATCTCTTTGTGTCTTGGTGTAGCATGTTCTTCTAATGAAGGGCGGGTGGGAACAGCTGATGCATCTGCCAGATGAATTAAACGAAATGGGCGCAGTTCTGTCCAGGTAAGACTTCTGCTGTTTTTTAAAAATCAGAGCATTGGTGAGTCATCATAAGTTAGTTTTGTGTTAAGTCTCCTATGTTGTTGTTGCATTACTGCTTTGAAATTGCAGTTCTTCTGTGAGCATGTGTCTGTGTTCGTGTCAGAGTGAATAATAGTTGTAGAGTGGCCCCCGGAGAGCCTGTCAACACATACCAAACAGAGAGCAGCATCTGTGACAGAGAGGTCAACAGCACTGACAGTGGCCATTCCTCCACCATACCTACTCAGAACAAAGGTAAAGGGAGTATTTTTACTTCTAGCACAACTAACACAACTACACACATGCAGATACATTATATTCTTTTTCAGTGTGTGAGCCAGAAGAGGCGCTCGTTCCTACTCTTCCAGTGACAGCTTTGGTGGAGAGAGGCTATATCACCCCACAGCAAGTGTACAACCTGCTGAGTGCAGAGGAAGGCCAGCCTGCCCTGTATGATCCTTACTATATTCTCATCTTGGACTGCCGCAGCGCAGATAGGTGGGTGCTGCATGAACTGCAATCCATTAACAGCACAGTCTGGTCTCAAAGGTTACCAGTTTCGAATCATCACATCTATCTCAACAAAGACTTGGTTTCTATTTAGCTGTAAAGTGATCTCAAAAATAATGTGGCATCTGGCCTACCTAAGGCACAGTTTTTGGGACAACTAGCTGATTTAAAGGACGGGGTTTGGTGATATTTTTTTAATTAAAAGATGGAAACTAACAGTTAATTGATCCTACTAACCTGTATTGTCCAAGTATCCAAAGCCTGAAATGCTAATACTTATTCCACTGTGCCATATGGTTGCTCGTTGTCCATCAAAGAGTCACACTGTTGCACTGTTCAACATGGCCCCCAGGAAGTGGTCCAAACTTTGAAGCAAATTGTCTAAGACACAGTAGAATTTGCAGGCCTATGCAGATTGCTACTTACATATACATCTGGCTCCCTCACGTTATGCCCCAAAAGCTCGCTACTTCCAGCTAAACTGAAGGTCGTTAGCTTGGCCGTCGGAAGTCAGCCACCGTGCTGGTGAAATCTCTAATGCACTTGCTTTATGGGCTTAATGATGCAGAAGTTCGGGGTAATTTCGCTCCCTAACTTTTCTGTCTTCATGCACCACTGAGCAACATTCATGGCAATGCTGTATCCAGTTCTCTTTAGATTTCCATACTTAGTACTTCCAAAGTTCCTTTAAACTTCCATGTGGTCGATATCTATACTCGATACGTGCAATAATGTAAATAGCCAGTCTATTTATTAAGTCTTGCTTTTATTTTTCACTGCACACAATCATCTCTCAGGCGCAATATCAATATATGCTAAACTGTGCAATAACTGTACTATCCCATCAGTTAATAATGTGAAATCAATCTTTGTTTTGTACAGTTTACTTATCACACTGACCTGTGTTTTTTTTGTTATTGATACGTACTTAAATATTGCTTTGTGTTTTTTCTACTGATGCTTCCTGCTGGCACTACGCCTCTGCTGCTGTCATGCAAACGTCCCTGCTGTGGGACAAATAGGATTATCTTATCTCATCTCATCTCGTCTCATCTCATTTCATCTCATCTCATTTCATCTTGTCTCATCTCATCTTAACTTCCTTCATTAAAAAGAAAAAGAACGTTGTTGTTTTCTTTTAGGGAGGGACTGGCGTTTCCTGTATGGGTGTGGCCTTTTTTCAGGCCCCCATGTGATTTTGGACGCTGCGGCGGACTTGATTGCGACTCCAACAAGACCGTACGGCTATGCAGCCCTATTTTGTTGTGTTTTTCTATCTTGTGTTGTCGTCTCATATTGTGATTATTTGTTTTTTATATTTTTGGTTTCTTTTTACTTAGTTAAGCAATATCACGAGAGGGAGTGATGTTGTACTGTGATATTGTCACGGCTGTGATTCGGTCGTAGGCACAAGGCCGCAGGCCGAGTGCCAAAGACAATCACAGCAGTTGCTTTTATACAACAGTTCAACAGTTAAATAAGCAAGGCTGATTAAGAAATGTTGAAAAATGAGGACAAAATAGATAATTTAAGCATTTTATTTGTCTTCCGCCAACAAAAATAGTTCCCTCAGGACTCCCCTGTCACCGTTGCTATGTAACGCAGACATGGTGCGCCAGGCACTTACTCTTTATACACATTTATCTGCACGTTTCCATTAATTGTGCAGCCGGTGAAATAAGTCTCTGGTGACTGCATGGTGGACTGTCGCTTCACAGACACAGCCTGCCTTCTGATCTGACAGTATGTTGCTTTTCTCCAAGTCATTGAGCTCCGCTGATGAAACACTGACAAACCTGGATGTGTGCTCAGATGGATTCAGCTTCTCCTCTCCCTCATCTTCCTGTGATGACCATTCATAGTTCAATTCAAAACTTAATTTAGGAAATAAATCCATATTTTTGGCTGTTTGACAGTGGATGAATTAATTAGCCTACAACGCAACTGCTGACCTAACTGACACTAACCGTCAGTTTTGATTTGATTGTTGATTGAAATCAGCTGTGAGGCGGAGTGATACATACACAGTGAAATAACCGTGATGTTGTACTCCAATATCATCACGGTTTTACTGTCTCTCGACCAATCAGATTGCAGGGCCGGAACTAACTGTTGTATAACCTATAATAATGTATTACGTATAATACTGGAGCAACCTTTTGTGCTTTCGTCATGCTGTGTTCATGAATCTTTTGTGTTTAAAAAAGCTCAATTAAAAAAAAAAAAGAAAAAAGAAAAAAAGAAAAAGTTCATTTTGAGTCAATGCTACATCCACCGTCCTGCTCCTGGAGATACTCAGTAGAGCACTAAATGTGTCTGCTGCTGAAAATTATGCACGACTGACGTCTGTTAAACACTTGCTACAAACTACAGTACCCAGCTGTTTCAGAAAATTCGTTAGCCTTTTCTGTTATTTTCATAAATTAAAGCTACCCAATCTTTCTAACTTCAGGAAAAACAAATGGGCTTGGGGCCAAAGACAAGCTATGATTTTAGTCTTTCCTTGGAATTTTTGGGAAGTAAGAAAACATTATAGAACAAAGCCTGCCTCCACCTTTAAAAGATCTATCGGCTACAGAATTACATTGTGCAAAGTAACTGCTGCAGTTATGATACATAATCTATGTGCATATTATCAATGTGTGTTTTAGGTACAAGGATAGCCACTTGGTGACAGCGCGGGCCGCTGTGACGGTGATCCACCCTGTGCTGGGCTGTCTCATCAGCTGTATAGAGCTGCAGAAGTATTCTATAATACTGCTGTATGCAGAAGAGGGATGCAGCCCAGGTCAGTACACCACATTCAGACCCTACCAACAGGGTGACATTTTAGGATTTTACTGAATAGTCATGACGAATTGAAATACATTTGGTGATTCCTTAAGTCCTCTATTATCAGGTCGAATTTTCAATTTGTCAGTTACTTTGTTTCATGACCTATGTCACCTTGGTCTCCACAATACTTTGCCCTAATTACCAAATGCTAACAGGCTAAGATGCTGTCCTTAGCATGGTAAATACTGTATATCTGCTAAACATCAGCATGTTAGCATTTGCATTGTGCGTATGTTGACCTTAGCACCACTGTGCTTGAGTACAGCCTCACAGAGCCTCTGGTGTGGCTGTAGACTTAGTGTTGTTGACATCTATCTTGCTATCTGCGCTGATTTCTTCTCTCTGTCTGTGTTTTGTCACTGTGATTGTTTCTGTGTCTCTGTGTCTATTTCAGTTGGCAGTGTGAAGGCCAGGACAGACTCCCCTGAGCTCCAGCGCTGTTTCTTCCAGCTCAGTGGTTTAGGAATGGACCCTGTCATCCTGCTGGGGGGATTCTCCGCCTTCCATGCCCTCTACCCTTTCCTCTGCACACAACGTATGGTCCTGCTGGAACCTGAGCGCCACACTCTCACCATCTACCCCTCAGAGATCCTGGAAGATGCCCTCTACCAGGGCTCTGCCTCCCAGGCCTCTGACTACCGCATCATCAAGAATCTACACATCACGCATGTGGTCAATGCCACTGCCAACTGCCCTGATGCCTTCCCCAACACACTGTGCTACCTGAGGCTGTGTCTGAGTGATGACGCCCAGCAGGATCTGGTGGAGGCACTGCCGCTGGCATCCAGGTTCATCAACTCAGCCCTGATGGCTGAGCCGGCCGGCCGCGTTCTGGTCCACTGTAGCACAGGCAGGAGCCGCAGCTCAGCTCTAACGCTGGCCTTCCTCATGGAGCATCGACGCTGGTCGCTGCTTCATGCCCTGCGCTGGTTGAAGGAGAGGAGGGCATGCACAGCACCCAACGTGAACTTCCTTCGTCAGCTGCTGACCTATGAGGAGCTGCTGTTTGGGAGCAGACTCACCTCCCTAAACGACATCCGCAGATGACTGTTTGGAAAAGAAAAGAAACATACACTGGATTATTATTTTTTTGTACAATTCACATTGAGAAAACATTTAAATGAGCTTAGACTGAACAAACAGAGGTGGACTTTGGACTGCAAGAAGGACTCAGAGACTTGAAAAGAGTATTTCTCCCACAAGTTTAACATTAATTTTGCTTCACTGTCAAACCACAATCACACTGTGTTTATTACGCTGCTCCTCAGTAACGACAATAATCATGCAGATAATTAATTTAATGACTTATTCTGACTCAGTATGACACAATCCCTGTCATGACATGTTGCTTGATGATAGTTGCTAGAACGTACACATTAATAAATAGTATTTTACATTAGAAAGTTTTCTTTTCTTCAGTTGTATTCCATGAGGTGACGATTCTGCAGCATAGTGTGGAAAAGTGTTTAAAAAACTGAACGGAGGCTTGCATATAGCCAGTGTTTATAGCAGACATATACAATCCTGTAGTGTTTACGCAGGGCATGCCATTGAGATACAGTTAGCTGAGATTTGTTGCACGTATTGCCATCACTCTTTCTGCCATTTCTCTCTTACACACACTCACACACACACACACACACACACACGGACACACACACTTAGCTCCACCCTGTTGAACTCAGTTGCATGCAGCTGGAATTCCCTCCCTCCAGTCACAGTTTTTGGTTGGGACAAAGGAATTTTCTGGAGAGTGGGAGATGGAGGAAGAGGAGGCTGCAGGTGAAAATGGTGAAATGAGTGTGTTGGGCCAAGTTAGAGGTTGCACAACTACACAGGACACCAGTTTGAATTGAGATGTTGAATCCAGGGTGCACATGCCTGTATGTCAATGAAAATATATTACAGCAGAGCATGAGCCAAAACAGAGGGAAACACATCCGAGTTTTGGAGCACAGTTTCAAAACGTGGCAATGGGGTGACGTTAGCTGTTACACACACACACACACACACACACACACACACACACACACACACACACACACACTTTTTTTTCACCTCAAAACCCTAAATACTCATTCACGGCTGTCTCTCCACGGGTCAAGACAACTTAGACACCTCCCATAGCAGTTTCCGAACGCCAGCCCCCAAAGTCTCCAGCAGCAGCAGACTTTATGCATGTGAGCTTCTGCACGTAGCATCCAGACTTTTAAGAATCCAGCCCTTACCACCAGATGGCCAACAGTGCGCTGAAACATCCCAGATAGGACGAGCCATCAGACTGCGTGTTGATCTCCTCACCGTTAGCTGCACCGGGTCCGGGCTGAGCTGAGACTCTAAGAGGACCGAACAAGCGGGGGGACACATTTCTGCTGCAGGATGTACTCGTTTAGGTAAATATTAACTCCTGAAGCTGATAAGATGACTAAAACTAAACCTTTGCAGCCTTTTCAGGTCGTTAACATGTCAACTTACAGTTGTGAACTCACCGTGTTTTCTGATTTCAGTTGGGACCAACAGACAACGTTCCATACGCTAACAGTTATTCCTCTAAAGTTAGGTTAGCTTGCTAAGCTAGCTAAAACTAGCTAACCTGACTGAAACTTTGATTTTTATGATGTATCTAAGCAGCAGAAAAGAATATAACAAGAGTGAACTGATTAAAAGGGAGTAATATTAGCAAAAGCCACATTAAAAGTCGAAATAAGCGAGAAAAGAAAACCGAGCCTGAGTTTTACCTTATGAAAGTATTAGCGTCAATGTTATGGCATTCCAGTGCAATGCAGCGTGGGATGCTGCCGCTGCCTCCACTCAGCTGTACAATACATTCCCACAATAACAGCACAGTACGCACAATTTTAATTAGTTAAGACATTATGTGCACTAACAGGCACACAGTGAACCATCTCACACACTTATGTGAGTCTACACTGTCAGGCTGTTTGGGGATAAAAGCTAACATCAAATGGAAACTTTTATTTTTACGTTACATTCCTGTTGGTTAGCCAATTAGCTAAATTAGTCTGGGAGTAATCAAACAACAACTGTGGACTTTTAGGAATTAAAAGCCCCCCTGCTGTGCTGTCAGTGACTTTGCAGGGGTTACTTTGGGGTTGTTCGTGGTGAAATCAGTCAGACTCCATTGCGTAGTGTTCAGTCCTCATGAGTTTCCCCAGTGGGGAGGGGCGAAGACGTGGCAGTCCTCTTCCATCCACATCCTGTGTTATCTTACTCCTCACACACACTCCCTGTAAAACTTGGAGAAGACAGTTAGGATGAAGGCGATTTCTCTGCAAGGAAGCCACTTAAATGTAACACAGATTGAGAAGAATAGGCTAATATTTGTTCAAAACATTATAATAACAACTGTAATAATAATAGCTTTATTTGTGTAGTACTGTTTGTACAGTAGGTGCAACTCAAATTGCTTTACATACTAAAATGACAAACTACAGATAAAAAACAGTAAGATAAAGTAAATGAGATACACATACACAACCACACACTCACACAGACACATGCACACACATATAAAAAAATCAGGTACTAATACTAATTAATTACCAATTACCAATACATTAATACTAATTAATTTAATAAAAGCTTCATAAATGCAAGTCTAAAAAGAGAGGTTTTCAGATTTTGTTTGTCAGCTGAATCAGAGTCTGACCTCTGTAAGGATGTTCCAGAGACGAGGGCAGGTGACACATGATGCAACATCACTGTACTTTTTAGTTATACTCTGGGGGCATTTAGTAGAGCAGTGGTAGAGGAGCTGAAGGATCTGGAAGGTATGTATTTGACCAGCATATCAGATGTCAAATAATCAGGAGCTAGTCCATTAAGAGATTAAAAAACTGTAAGCAAAATGGTTTCTAAAATGAATAGGGAGGTATTCAATGTTTTTGGATTTTGGATCATTTGAAGTTTCTTTAAGCCTTTGAAACCTGAGCAAATTGGCTTGATTTCTTTTAAAACATGGGAAAAGGCAATGAACAACAAAAGAAGAAGTGACTCAAAAAATTAGCAAGGAATGAGTAAAAAGAGAAAATTGTAAACAAGAAAATTTGTCAAAAAAAGAGACAAGGAAATGATCTGGACAGAGTGCTTAAACCCTATAATATTTTGGTAACATAATTTTAAAATGTAATAATTATAATAATTATTAATACAATTTTTCCCTAGCTTTTTCCCCCTATTTTTTTTTAAATATTTTTTTTGCAATTTGTGGGACATTTCTCACCAAGTTGCTCAATGCCTTTTTTCCCATGTTTTTGAAATAAATTGTGCCAATTTGCTCAGGGTTCAAAGGTGAAAATACTTAAGAAAGGCGTCTGAAAGCAGCACAAGAAAAGTGACGTGCTCCAACTTTCAAAGGGTTAAAGATTTCTTTGAGAGTCTGGAGAAGAAGGCATTGCAGTAGTCAAGTCTGCTTGAGATAAAAGCATGAACAAGTTTTTCGGTGACTTCTTTAAATGAAAGAGAGTACATACTGGCAAAATTACTGAGATGGGAAACTGCATTTTTGGTGACGTTTCTCACCTTCGGTCACAGATCACAATCAAAAATAACACCAGTGATTTTTATTTCATGCTTTAGTGACTGCAGTGAGGCTGTAATTATTAAAAGGGTCTTAATGTGTAAATAGCACTGCAGGGAACTACACTGCTTGTATATAAAACAGCATACAGTACAGTGATGGAAAATATTGCAAAGTCATGATGACAAAACATACATAAATGGTTTCATAAGTATTTTTTGATGGTCATTAACTCTTTCCTGAGGCCACTGTGGATAAATGTTTATGTCATGACAACAATTGGGTAATTTTTCATACCTTCTTTGGGTAAGAAAAAGAATATAGGAAGGTATGCACCAACAGCAGCCTGAAGTTTCACTACTACAATGCAGTATTTTGTTGTATTGAAGGGGTTAAGCTTTTCCTCCTCCTCCTTCTATCGCTGAATCTACTTTGAAAGTAACTGGTTCAGTCCTGGTCTCAGGGGTTTGCCGAAAGTAATTTTAGGCAAAACAGGAAATAGTTGAAGCGTCAGGAAAACAGTAAAAACTCCTGGAATGCAGTGGACATCACAACTCATTATTTACCAATGTTGTTTGAGGACAGAGACAGACCCATCCCTGCAAGTGAGAGCATTGTGATAACTCTTCTCACAATTAACACAAGGCTGTGAGGTTAAAAAAAAAAAAACAGGAGTGTCCTAATGAACATGTCTGAACAGAATGCAGCCCAGTTTGCACATAGTTTGAGAGGTCAGCAAACAATGCAAATTTCTGCAAAACAGTTTGGCATCTCACGTGACAGGCAGGTTAAATGCTACATGGCCATCAGGCATTCTTGGAGTCTTCACAGTCACGTACAAGCATGCATGCACGTGAACACTCTCACTGCCACTCACAGTCATTTGTGGCATGGCACATAGATCCAAATTATAACTGTTATACTTGACGCTTTAATCTTGACATTGCTCTTCTACAATATTATAACAAGAGAGACACAGTAGCTGTTAACCCTGTCATTACAGTAATTATATTCTATTGAGTTTTTATCCTGGAAATCCAAGTGGCAGAGGCACAATCATGGTATCTTAGTCTAAGTGGCACCACAGATTCTGGATATGCTGTAGTAGCAGTTAGGGATAATGGTAATTTGCATCTTGCCTCAGAGTTTCACTTAAACGTACTTTAATTTAATATAATTTAATTCTGCTTTAATACGCAGGGCTCTGACAGATTTTTTTCCTTCCTGCCTTCCTGCCTGCTGCTGACCTGAATTGAAAAGTCATATGAAGTCATTCGTTTATTTTCACTCAAGGCTTGACTTTGTGGCGAGACTGAAACCTGCCTGAGCCTGTTGTCTGCTTTCACTGAAAGACTTTAGAAATCTGATGCATACTTTATCCATGACCTTTACTTTGGCACCCATCTTATGCGTGTAAATATATTTTTATGTGCATATATTGCAAGCATGAAGGTGTGTGTGCTTTTTTAAATTGGTTCATGTGTGTGCAAGTGTGCATGTAATGGGTATTTACAGCGGTACTGCTGTTATTGTACTTGACACCTTCTGTGTTTGTCCATTATGTAAAAAAAACAAACTGGGGACATTCATGTCAGAGGCCAGAGTCAGAGATTGAAGTATTTTTGAGCATTAGCAGCTCACTGTTAGATCTAAAAACAACATAACCAAGTTAGATCTGCAGCTAACAATTATTTTTGGTATCCATTCATTTCCTCGAAACTTACCTGACAGCTGTTTGGTCTATTAAACATAAAAAACTGTTGTAATTGGCCTACATGTCTTGTTTTATTCCAACTAACATTCACATATAGTCAGGTATTTCATTTA